CGGTGAGATTAGAACCGCTGAACTGCAGATAACAGTCAGCTGAAGTGGCCTGCAGTACTGCACCCTAACCACTGCGCCACCTCGGCTCCCTGTCACATTTATGACAGTTGCAGTGTCCTGGGGTCACGTGATCCCCTTTTGTGACCTGACAAGCAAAGTCAATGGGGTAATCAGATTCACTTAACAACCATGTCAGTAACTGCAGTGATTCTGTTAACTGACAAGAAAAGTCGCAAAAGGGGGCAAAATTCACGTAGCAAATTTCTCACTCAGCAACATAACTTTTGGGCTCAATTGTGGTCGTAAGTCAAGGATTACCTGTATAACTCTGGAGATCCCAAGAAAGGGTCTGGTGGGTTCTATACCATAGATTTAAATATTAAATAGAATTCTTGCCAAATGAATAGATAAAGAGCAGGAACATCAAGTTCACCTCCTATTATGGCTACCCTTTGTTATGCATAACTGCAGATAAGAGGCAAAGAAAAGAAAAAGCTGAAACTCCTGCAGATTTAAAAGCAATTTAATCTCAATTACATTTCAGACTGTTTTCTTCCTTTAGTTTATACAGGTAGTTCTCAACTTATGACTACAATTGAGCCTCACATTTCTGTTGTTAAGTGAGACAGTTGTTAAGTGCATTTTACTCCATTTTATCACCTTTCTTGCCACTGCAGCCATTAAATTAGTAATCCGTTGTTAAGTGAATCTGGCTTCCACATTGACTTTGCTTGTCAGAGGTTCATAAACGGTGATCACATGACCCTGAGACCTGCAACTGTCATAAACATAGAGATTTAAATCAAGGATTGGAGAATTAGAACACATAAATTGTAGCATTATTTTTTTAGAATTCTGGTGGCTTCATTTTGTACAACACCAAGTTTATATGGCAGTGAAAAAGGGAAAAACAGATGTTAGGAACTTTGGGTCATATATGATGAAGACTCCACGCATTATAAGAAATGAAGAAAATTCACAAATTAGAGACTACTCTAGCATATTAAAGTATAAGTTGTCTGCCAATAGTAAAGGAAGTTTCCTTGCATGTGAATAGAGTATCAAATGGCTAGTACAGCAGCATAGGGCTTAGGTTAGTACCAATATACATTAAGATTGGAATTCTTGGAGGGGCGCTCTATTTCTATTGAAGCTTTCTTAAAGTGCCTCTTTGAAGTGGTGTTGCAAAGTGAACAATGTCCTATTTCTAAGGATCAAATCAGGGTATTGCTTTGTTATAAGCTAATAGTCTTATTAGCTTGCACATCAGGGTTGGCTTGCAACTCCATTCTTTATTTCTTTAATTTAGCTAAAGTTTAGTTTAGCTTCCAGAAGTTGTATGAGCTCATCACTGGAGGTTTTCAAGAAGAGGTTGGACAACCATTTGTGCGAAACAGTACAGGGTCTCCTTTCGAGCAGGAGGTTAGACTAGAAGACCTCCAAAGTTCCTTCCAACCCTGTTATTCTATTTCTAGGTTATTGTCACCTGTCAATAAATTTGAATTAGCCTTTTTGTTTCTTTTTCATTTAGATGGTTCTATCTTAAGTTCCCCCTCTAGTTCAGTTTCCTTTACAGAAAATATTCTTTATAAAAACCTCTTCCTACCACAATAATAGATTTTGAGACTTAACGAGTGTACATACTGCCAGCATCTGAGTTTCAATACACATCTTCAATGGGAAAGACTTTGCTAGTCTAGAAATAATATATACCCCCAACAACCTACGCCTTTGGAATAAAAAAAGTTTTGTTCTTTAGAACTACAAGACACCAAAGGAAGAATCTTCCTGAATTGGAAGTGAGGTGTATCAGAGGTGATATTCAGCAGGTTCTGACCAGTTCTGGAGAACTGGTAGTGGAAATTTTGAGAAATTCAGAGAACTGGTAAATACTACCTCTGATTGGCCCCACCCCCATCTATTCTCTGCCTCCCGAGTCCTGGCTGATCGGGAGGAAACAGGGATTTTGCAATAACCTTCCCCTGGAGTGGGGAGAGAATGGAGATTTTACAGTATCCTTCCCAGGGGTGGGTTGCTGCTGGCATTACTACCAGTTCGGCATGCAAAAAAGCCACTTCGGATCTTTCCCCTACTATGGCCACCAAGCCACGCCCACCAAACCATGCCACACCCACCAAGTCATGCCAAAAGATCCCATAGTAAAAAAAAAATGAATCCCACCACGGGGGTATACCATTGTCAACACCTCCGGTGAACATCTGGAATTAAATCAATAAGTATAAATGGAGA